GGATAGTTGCAATCTATCGGTTTATGACACCCAGTTGAAATTCACGTTACAGACTACTAAAAAAGCTAACGTTAGCAGAATATTTTTGGTGAAAATATATTTGTAATAATTGTATGCTAATTAAACGACCTTTAAGTCATAACAATTTTATGAAATTTAGATCAGAAAATGTTTTTTGATTTAAATATGATATATCTCTAAAATTCAGAAGTGTCTTAGTGCGTATCACGTTCGCAGTGTCTGTATAATACAGATAATAATTTACTGAAGTGTTTAATTCCACGAGATTTACAAATATCACTACACTTTGCTCACATATACGTCATCGACATGACCACATATATATATAAATGATCCTACCAGACATCGTGATATTTTGAATAAGATAAGGGGTGTTATTTTATTATTTTTTCCACATTATAGCAGTTATTAAATATTTAAAATTATTTGCAGGCATGTTCAACATACGACGTATACACTCCTATGATGGCGTTTCCGGTCCCGCGATGAATACATCCAATCTCGCGTTTACCGAGTCTCTGGAGATCCTCAATATAAATACAACTGCACGCTGCCACCGCTAATTTGTTGTTACTATCTAGTTTAAGGTGGATGAGGAGGACTATAAAAACTGAATAAATCACCTTTGATGAACAGTTAGTCAATAACCACATCATTTACCGCGCCAATAAAACAATGTTACTTTGACAAGAATATCGGCGCCTTATTGAATAATTGATTTGTTTACATTTAGAACAAAATGACCTGTACAAACAATATTTATCTTCTGTTTATTTCGTGTTTAATAAGTACGTTAAGGCATCAAAGGGTCAATCAAAGCAAACATGCTGTAGAAATAATAAAACCTTACGGTTTCTTGAGATGTCCCCTGATACAATATTTCGGTCTTGCACATTAGTCGTGGTTAATGACATGAAATCAACACTGATATGTTTCCGTACGTCGATGTAATGATCACGTGAGGTCGAAAAATATAAGTAAACAAACACATTAACGTAAATCCTTCAGATTGAAACTGCAATCATGCCCTTGAACGCCATATTTTTGCGGGTAAAATTGTGGTGCAAAATTTTTCACATTTTCATGTTTTTTTCTGCATTTTTTTTGAGGAATTTTAGACAAAATGCATTGGCTCTGATCGACTTTTTTGCAAAAATATGGAAGAAAATTTGAGGATTAGTTTTGTGAAAGATAACAAGTGTTCACTTTAGCGCTCACACGGTTCGAGAATGAAACGGGAATGGGTCACGCAACTGAATTCGTTTCCACGTCGAATTTGTATTGTAATTCTGTAAGTACATTTTGTAAACTCACAGTTTTTTTTACTAGTACCATACAAGCAAACACCGTTTTCACAACGCCACAGTCTTCGTAAAAGGTCGTGTTTGATACGGGTCCAATGCGACGTTTACAAAGCGTTCAAAACATTGTTTATTTATGCAAAACACGAACGTGTGCTGCGTGTCGCTTTATTCGCAACGTAATGTGATTCCCCAGATGATGATACTGACCGAAAATATTTTGTGTTCAAATTTATTTCAACGTAGAGGCAACACGACATCTTCGTTATCGATATCAATTTTATTATTATATTTAACTTTATTGCCCACAGACAATGTCCATAACAAAATAACATGCTTATATATATTTAATGATCAGAATTATTTCACATCATACCGTGACAGGAAACGTGCTAAAAAGCGTGAACGAGATACGTACAATTGGCATTAGGGTTTCGTCACGTGACGTCGTTGACAATAAAACATACAATCAAAAAGTACGCAGTATGTCACTGGGTAAAATTATGCGTTCACTTACAGTGATAGAAACGGGGGGGGGGGGTACCATGGCGTGCTCCTATAAGTCGGAGTAAAGCATTGACAACATTTCCTTTTGCTGTTAATAGGGGGCGCGGTGCAGCTTCTTTCTCCGTATAGTAATTTCGCATCCGATCTGCTCGACCGGGAAAGCCAGATTTTTTTGTTCGAAAAGGTCCTTAATTGCCACATAAGAACGTACGCATGCATGTCTATTACTCGTTGTATTCAATCTTTGTCGTGTATATATCTAGGTATTAGTTTCGGATAAATGATCAGAAAAAAATGTCTAATTTGGTCATTAATGATGTTGCATGGCGTCAATAAGATCAATAGTCCAGACTCACTGCATCCAAACTCAACAATTTCGAATTGTGTGTTTAACTTTATGGTTTGGAAAACATGACATACTTCTTCTTGCGGTATATGTGGCACGTAACCAACGTATATTCTTGAAGCTCTGATCCGTGATATCGTATCGGAAGACTGTCATTGTTTCTGTACAGCGTGCATCGCTGACTCATACAGTCGATACAGTGTCATGCTGAGTAGATCATCATGCACACTTGAGGATGTATTGAGCGAACAAACCAACATACGTGTACACACAGGACGTGGCGACCAATGAAATACTAGCACTGCTTCTGTGAATCGATGACCACGTTTGAGAGCCATTTTCATGCAGGATTCTTGTGGCCATCTTTTCTTTTTTACACACGGAACGGAGAGCTGAAGGTGGGTCTGTGGTGTCTACTGTTAGGGTCAGTGTCTAAAGAGACCATGCACGTAAACTTATTAGTATGCAATCATGAATACACAATGGTTTCTGAAATTTCACACTAACGAAAAGTTCCCCGGAAAATGTAAAACGACGATTGATTAATTTGTATAACAATACCTAATCACACGATGAACAAGATGGCGAGAAAACGTGACAAGATTTGCCCGGAACAAGAAAACCGAGTGTTTGAAAAATTTAATATCGATTTATTTTTACCTCAATTATACGAACATAAATATGAATAAAGTGAAACCAAGAAAGCTATAAAATCGAAGATTTTAATATAAAAAGAGGCTGAAACGACTTGATTGAAAATGTTATGACGTCATTAATCTATAAAAAAACAACTGCAAAGAGGGCTTTAATGGCAAAGATAATCCTAGATATCCATTTGTGTAGATTGGTGTGATTTGAAGTCGGAGCGTTAATTGTTGTCATGTACTACGTTCAGAATACAGTGTATAATTATGTTTATTTCCCTTGGCCGCGTCTGCGGTTTGAATTATTTCGAATATAAAAAAAATAATAGATTCAGTCGAGATTTTTAAAGAAGGCTAAAAATGGCTACGACAGGACGTCATTGAAAGTATGACAAGTTTTTAGTTATGTCTTGAACGAGGACACTCTAGCGGCAGATAAATTAGGATAATAATGTCAATGAATATTTAAATGGAATATCACAATAACAAATTGCCCCGTAGCGCCTGAGTGGGTACGAATCGACTCTGAATCCAATATTATTATTTTTGATTACATTAAACATCACTTTGTGTAATATGCTACGCCAAACAAATCACGAGATGTCGACACGTTCTTGACATAAAATAGTTTATTTGATTTGTTTCGTATTAATATATTTAATACCTAATTCCCGTAACGCATAAACTACATCTTTCCAAAGCTGCGCTACTGTCTCGTGATCGAAAAAGTTTGCTACAAGCACTGTTAGCTGGTTCCCGGCGTCCCTTGCAAGTATGACGCATGTAACTAGTAATCGCCATATTGTTATACTGGGCCGCGATTCGTTCGTTATCCATTCTATAGTAAAATCTCTGAAAAACATAATCTTCAGTGATGAATGACTGCAGATCAAAACGATATTGACAATTTGAATGACCTTGTGTCATCCATTTGCGTCATAGGGAAACGCTTCACCACTAGATGGCGGGAATTTATAGGAAAGTTTCTTGAAAAACTCCAACTCCGAGCTGGAAAGAGATGATCTTGAGAAGTAGTGACGTCACGCAACGTCCGAGTATAGACAATATCATAGCAAAGATGTGTAAAATAACTATATGCAACATTGATATCTATGTTCGGTGAAAGAATGCAGTAAAATTCTCGTGAGTTTCATGCACGCGTCAATCAAACGTATTTTAAAGCCGGTGGTCGTCGCGCAGCGCGTGTTCGAATTTCTTGTAAATAAACAATATATATTTTACACGCGTTGCGTACGTCGCTATGAGTTCCATTTCGACCACAACGCGGCGCGACGACCACGCCCTTTAACTAACGGCACCACCAATCCGTTACGTAATACTAGACGCTTAAAAACCATTATACTTCCATGTCTTGTTTATTGACCAGTCATGTGGTATGGTAGTGGTATATTTGGGGTAGGTTTGTTCGTCATTTTGAACACATGTATTTTTCTTCAATCGCGCTCTCTGTTTTGTTTGTTACTAGCGTTTTTGATGCTGGGCCGGGTATTTTTGTATAATTTTCTGCAGACTACTCTTCTTTCCACAAAACAAAAAACGTTGGCATTCTCTCTATATAGTCGTATACTAGTTGTGTCCCATAAAGCATTGCATCATGACAGATTATGTTTTATAACCAATCAATGTTATTAGACGTTTAGATTCGACTATAAATGAATGACGAAAGACCTGGGATGGAGGTCACACATTCTGGTACTTTGGACATGTTTAACATCACTTAAAAGTGTCAGGATGTGCGAATTTCATGGCGTCATGCATAAATTAAGCATGGCTCAACGGCTATGAGTAAAGTTCATTTCTATAATGTCAAACGCTTCCAGTCGTTCATTGGTATATATAATTTATCTTCAACTCTCAACGCTCAATAATTCAGGTTTCGTTTAAAATTTTGATAAAACCTGACCCCGTTGATAATAAATTAAGTTAATGCTCGCAGTTAAACTTGCAAATATAATGTTATTTTCACATAATCCAAATTCACGTACATGTAACATAATTGAACGTATAATGAGAATAAGATGAAAATAAAAACTTACGAATAATTTGCATAATTGTTGAAAATTTTAATTGACCATAACATCGAGTACAATAAAGACGTGGAGCTATAAATAACGAAATTACAGCTAATGATACTAATATATTTTCTTTTTACAATTACAGATTCTGGCTAACTGTCTTTACGAAACGGAAACAAATGAAGATGGAACAACTCGTCAAGTACGCGTGCGCAGTAGTTATGCAGATATTGGCGATGCATGCTGGAAGAACTGGGGAGGGCGCTTCATCAACTATGTTCAGCTGATAGATCTGATTGCGGTTGCCGCACTATATTTAGAACTACCTGGATTTTTAATGACCGATGCATTTCCTAACGCAGGAATATCGCAGCTAGCGTGGACTGTCATCACGGCATTTGTTGTTTTGCCAAGTATATTTCTCCGAACTTTGACGATGATAGCATGGCTCAGTATGTTAGCTGTGGTGGCGTACTTTGTAATGGCGGCATGCGTGGTCGGTTACGGGATTTCGATAGCAACAGAGTGGAAGGCCGTATCCTGGCAGCACTTCACACTGGAAACGTTCATGGTATCCTTTGGTCTCACTTTGTTCCACTACGACACTGTTTACGCCGCAATTCCAAGCGTGGAAGAGAGTATGAAACACCGCAATAAATTCAACGTGATGATTAACTGGACTTTCGTGTGGTTGACGGTGTTTAATTTACTATACGGTATCATGGCCTACCTTACTTTCGGTGAAAACACCGCCGAGTTAATTACCGACAGTCTACCGCGTGGTCCATATCATATAGTAAACCTACTGGTTGTCATGAAGGCGTTGCTGACCTACCCGCTAATGATATTTATGATCATTCATTATATTGAGCTCATTCGATTCCACTTCTTACCGCCATGTTACGGCGTAACCGCGGAGAGGCTTCCAGGAACGTGGGCCATGGTATTTCGTACCGTCCTTGTAGTATTTACCCTGTTTTTAGCAATAGTCGTTCCGCACTTCCGTCACTTCATGGGTTTCATCGGGGCTGTGATGACTCCCTTCGTGGCTTATATTATTCCATGCGGATGTCATTTGAAACTCAAACACAAAGAGCTACGGTATTGGGAAATAGCTTTAGAAATTGTCATTATTTTTGTCGCTATCGTTGGAGGCACATTAGCTGTCATATTTGCGTCCAAACAGCTAGTAGAAGCGTACATTCCATAGACGTTTGAATAAAGTTACGTAAAAAGGATCACCCGCCCTCTGGGGGAATTTCGTAAATATGGAATATTTGTAAAAAGAAATAAATAACATTCGGAGGGAGGACGAGAATTTTAGCACAGAAACATGGAAGTGTTTCATTTCAAATGTAATTTTAGCAAGCATTTAATAGCGAATCTTTTTTTTTTCCAGCGCTGGTCAGACGCTGAGAGAAAGATCCTTCAAATTGAACTTAGTAAAAACCACGTGTTACAGATGAATATGTTGTTTCTTATGTTGTTAAAGTAACAAATGTGTTTGGAAAACAGAACACTGTAGATAAAGTAATATCTTAAGTTTGATGAAACAGTTTTATTTTGATTTGCACTTAAAGGGCGGTGGTCGCAGCGCCGCGTCCTGTTCGATAAAACTACGCACAGAACGCGTATAAAATACATTTTTATGTTTAACTGAAATTCGAACACGCGCTGCGAGACGACCACCGCCCATTAAATGGCAGTGGTCGTCGCGCGGCGTGCTTGGTGTGGAACTCATAGCGACGTACACAACTTGTGTAAAATACATTGTTTGTTTAGTTACATGGAATTCGAACACGCGCTGCGCGACGACGACCGCGTTTCAAGGCAGACCCTGATGAATAGACGTAACAGTACGCCCCGCGTCAACCAATACCATTCGCCGACGTTTCTATGCAACGTGGTGTCACCTGACATTCAGTGTGCACACGACGGAATGTACGTGAGGTGCATACTATAGTACATATATCCTTGTGGCCTAATTAATATAATGAAGCGCCCAGTCGTCACACAGCACGCGTGTCAAATTTGTTGGAACAGACAATGTATTTTACTCGCATTGTTTGCGTCGTGCGGCGTGACGACTGTGGCGCTTTAAGTTTAAAGGGCGGCAGTCGTCGTGCCTCGACCTGTTCGATGTGGAACTCATAGCGACGTACACAACACGTGTAAAATACATCGTTTATTTACATGAAATTCGAACACGCACTCCGCGACGACCACCTCGCTTTAACCTACAAATATCTTGTAATGTACATACGGTATTAACACTTAACACAATGGCGCTCACATGCGGTTTCCATGGCACGCCATGACGTCACTTTGACCACTTTCTTGGAAATTGAAAATACGGCGTTTCGCATTCGCGCGCATTCCTGAATATAGTGTGCAACTTAAACATGTACGACGTGATGTTGTCATGGTGAATATTCCAATCGTCGTGGCAACATAATACTAGCAGACTGACATGTTTGTATTTGCCGCCATAAGAGAAGCAGTCATAATGATTGCACCCATTTTCAGACAGTCTCGCTTCGAGATGTACATCAGAGAAAGTGGTCTATTGTCCACATTAGTCTTGCAGTACGGTTAACGCCAGTACCATTGCCAATACTGTTAACGTATCACTATTTTAAAGACTCCCAGCACAACTGACCCTAGATATTTTTCATCAAATTTAAAGTTTGGCCTACTGTAAATTACGTGCCGTTGATCAAGGTGCGAAACTAGACCACTTCTCAATACGTATGTTGGCTTCTGATTGAATGTATGTGCTGCCCTCAACGTCATTAATAATGAATGAATTGTCTCGTGGTACAGCAGTGTATTATGGGTAGTATATACATAGAATGAGCGAGAGTTGTGTCGTCACGATGCAATGTACGATATACGTTATAAATATCGTTAGAATTAATAATTTAATTTGATATTTTGATTCCTGCTTAAGAATACAGTCGTTAAAATCGTGTGTTACTCGCCAACTGAGGGCGCCAGACAAGATCAAACGGTTTTTGTTTTTTTCTTTATTTTTGAATGCGTGGTGTTGTCATTCATAGAAGATATGTATCTATGTGTCCTAATTATACGCCTACCTTATCCAATTTCAATAATGTATTTATGTAATTATGTAATCTTGAACTGAAATAGTAAATGTACTTTAATTTCAATCGTTGAATGCCTTTGCCTTATTTCTTAACAACAACTGGACAACTATTTCAAAGATATGATGTTATTTTAAAATCATGCTGGCAATATTGATTTAGAAATTACCCAACATGGCCGGTAAATACCAACATAACCGCTGAGTACAAAAGTGGCTGCTAGATGTCAACATGGCCGCTGCATACCAAAATATCAACATTAACTCACAATGTTGAAATTATCACAAAGTAGCAGGGTGTGTGCCCTCATGATAACTACAGTTTCCCATTTATTAAATAAGGTTCGAACGACAAGTTTATGCTGCGTCCGGCAGTTAATGAAAACACACGGGATTTTGATAAACGGAATGGAATATAATCAACATTTTCATAATCGGGCATTTTTCATAAATACAATCATGATGTACATAAAAATAGTTTTACGGAAAAAAACATTACGCTTTGACATGAAAATACCGACTACTACTAGTATCTAATTTTTGACAGCTGAACAAATTTCAAACTTGAAAGTTTTAATGATGCTATCCAGAATTGGTTCTGATTTTTATTTTAATGTTGGCTAATCGAGATAGTGAATTAATCGAGATAGAAGAAATGTGCCCTCAGTGGCAATTCTCTAAACTTGTTAAAGTTGTTCAATACTGAAATATTCATCGTTGACGATTTATGTTAAGTAACTGTAGACAAATGTAGTATGCGTGCTACGGGATGATGGTTTAATAATATCACATGTCTGAACTTAAGGGCAATATCACGATCTGTTGCCTATCCAAGGGTGATATCGTGATATTGCCTGACTGACCGTGTGCTATTTATTTTATCACATTGAACAGACGTCAACCATGAGCAACTGCATTTAACATACACCTCTAACATCAACTCTCCCACAACAATTATAATACTATACAATATATTTTAAGTATGCAATAGTTTATTCTATGTATTATAATAAGTGGCACATTACTCAATAACATGCGTTTATGTAAATTGTTTGCTACGCAATAAATGTTACTTTCAGCAGTGTGAAACACTAAATTTGTCGAGTATAAAATTATTAGAATGAATTTGGAACTTCTAAAAGGCAAGTTATTTCACCACCCGCCAGATAAAAATGTGAGCACGTCGTTGAAATTACTGTAATAACTTTCTCACGAACTTTACCACGCCTTTTACCTGCATTCGCACATTACTCAGCTTAGAGCTTTCTCGGCGAGCATCGGTGTCAGTGCTATGCGCCGTAGCGATCCTGGCATACCGCGGCGTTCCAGTCGCGACTTCGCCGTACATAGTTGCTCCATATAACGAATACCCTGAACACCAAAACGGCGTATATTACGCAATATCAATTTTGACATGTTCGCTGTCTATTTCAAAACCTTGAAAACAACAGCGTCCGTCCGCCGCGGGACAGCGCCAGTGCAGCGAACGACAATTTGTTATGCGCAGTATCGTTGCGCAGTAGTCTCAGTGATGTCATCCACGAAGAAACTTTCTATCAAATGCACAACCGATTGAGACAACACTCAAGGACAAAACCGATTGCTGAAACGAACAATCATTATTGCACGTTTGTTTGATTTACGAGACCTATATATGTTACCTTCTCGTGGTTATTTCCGACCTGTTTCCGGCAGGGGAATTTAAACTCACTGCTTCTAAATCATGACAGACTCTTGCCTTGCAAACGTAAATTACGTACTAGTATTATCATTATGCTACTAATGAATATTTTGCATTTTATAAAACAAATATAGAGCTTTCATTGTGACTTTTCTTCCTAATTTTCGGTTATAACAAATAAAAAATCACGGACATCGACAGCATACATTTTGTTAAAAACAAATGCTTTCTGTAATGGATTACACTTGCGTTTTTCACCACCAAATCTTACTATGGTCCACATTGTATTTCTAACCACTGGTAAGGGCAATGTAATGAAATGGAGGAGTGGGCGATGATGAAAAGCAGACAATCATAATATATTAAAGGAAATACTGTTTTATTTGAACATTCCTGGATCTGTAGCGTCCGTGAGTATTCATGTTTCTTGTTCTTTACTCATTCCTACATTCTCCAAGCCTCGACTGATTTCTGTCGTTGTTGGCGTGGTTGAGGATACAGAATCAGTCTCAGCCAGATTTTACACATCTTCGCCAGCCAAGGGACATTTATTCGGCTATCGTCTCACGTATATTTAAGTGCACCCTCTCTAACAATACTTGAGATATTTTCTTCAATGCATCGTCTAGTTTTCTTCCCATCCACAAATTGATCTGACATTTTACTATCTGTTACTTGAGCCTAAAAATCCAACTTATTAGGTCAATTCATTTTATTAATTTGTTTCCCCATTTTTCACTATACTAAACAAACACAGATATGACATACGCATACGACCACCGTGAAATGCACGGTAATACTCGTTTGCATTGCACTAGCTATATGCTCTCAGTATATTATGAACATAGATTGTACAAGGTCACACGTTTGAAAAAAAAAACATGATCGAGGCGGAGGCTCCGTGCCCGCCTCCGTGATGTGCGTTGAGGGAAGGGACGCGTGGAATCGACTGGGGTGCATACGTCAAAAACGCATTGTAACCGAGTCAAGTGATAGTCTACATAAATAGTTCGACAAACTGTAGTTTTTGTTCAGTACTAGGCCACATACAGAAGACAATCCTGGCAAGTGGAAACTGCTATCGAAAATGCATCGGCGATTCTACGCGATCGGCATCACAACGCTATATTTTGTTTATGACCAGTTGTCACATGTTACACCAACTCTGATTGGACGCATGCTCCGGGGGGGGGGGTCACTTAATGCAAATCACATTATGGTGACTTGCCGCCCTTTGGGGTCGTGGAATGGGGTATAGATTTGCTCGCATTTAGGTATAAAAGCAGGTTTGCCTACCTAGGATGGGGCCGGCGGATGGGATCTGTTATTTTAATTTCCATGTACTAGCTATATATAGTGTATTTACCAGAGTTTTTGTACTTTTATTGATGATTCCGGGTGATGAGTAGATTCAACCTATAACTGA